GTGGTGGGGGTGGTGGGGGTGGTGGGAGGTTGGCATAGCGGCCCATGTCTGAAGGCCGTACAGGTGGTTCATCTCTTCGTTCATGTGTGCACATACTGGTATGTGGGTGGTTGTCAGAGGGAGTTTGGATTTTGATCCATGCAATGTCTTCCTCTTCACTGCTATTATCATTTGTGAGGACTGTCGCTTTGCGACGACGACCGATCAAAACATATAGGGATTTACGCAACTTTGCTACATAGTCATTAGTATTCTCGTTCCAGCTGTAGTTTGTTTGTATGTGCACACTGAAGTTTTTGCGCTTTGGTGGAAAAGCAAACCACACGTTGCCTGGGCTGCTCCGTGATCGCGCAACCATCTAGAGCGACATGTCAATGTTGGGGTTCTCTGGAACCTTTCGAGGGACGATTCGCCCGATGGTAAAGGGACATGGGCTGTCCCACTAAGAATGCTATGATATAGTATACTCGCTCCCTTTACAACCCCTGTCATGCAAGCTGCGGATGCAGGTGTCACCAACCGTCCGGCCTGTTCAGCCACCTACTGATAACAGGCATCACCTCGGCTTCGACGAGTACAGCTCGCCCGTTTCCAGCCTGGAGTGCTGAGATCAATATGGCGTCGACAACATCGCTAATTGACCCATGAGCTCTGCACCTCTCTCACTTATGTGGCAAGAGGTTTTGGTGGATTTTTGGCTTCTCAAGTTGCCATTTTTTACGTGAACAGAGCCTTGTGTGACATGTGACGATTAGGTTGTCGTGCTATCAATAGCAGTCGGTACCACTTGAATCATGTCTGGACCTGTACAGAGCGATCGATAGTACAGATGATATCATAGCTACCGCGCGTAAGCGACGATGAAGAGGACTGTGGCTTCAGCCAAAAACTAACCTATCTATCTATTGTTTCAACTAGTACCTGCCCAGTGCTCTAATCGGTTCCGCTTGCTGCTGATCTGGTTCCTCCAGTTGGCTGCTATGGCTGATCTAGTGGAGGTTCAAGCGCTGATCATGCAACCTAGTGCTATCTGAAGAAGCGTGCTTTGAACATTATGGCACACCTGCAGCCAACGGCTAACTTGATCGCCCACACTTTTCCATAACACACAACAGGGAGTGATTATAGTACCCACCCAAAGATGCAATGGAAAATGCGGTACCGGTAAGAAATACATTGATGATTGGTCACTTTACATAGGAGTTTCTTGACATTCTGCAAGCTTTCGATCGCTGTTGAGGGGCCGCTGCCGACGAAGCCTGTTGCACGGGCCGAGAAGACGCCAATCTCTTGAAATTCATGCACTGTACTTGAACCGGGGTTGTTTTATTTGCTGTTGCCAAGAAGCTGCAGATGCATGCACTACGTCGTCTGCAGCTGTAGTCCTTCATCAGACATGGGTTGGCGGTCAATCTACCCTGCGCTGGCGCTTCTGCTGAACCTGAGCTTGAGGCGAATGCTAAGACTAGGCTTCCCTGGCATTTGCTGCCCACGGCTGTTGGCGTATTACTGGGCTGAAAATCATGATTGGCAACGAGCAAGGTACACTCTGGCCGCTGCCTGGTTGCCTTATTATCGGGCGATTTGGTACGAGATGCGAATGAGTAGTAGTATAGACGCGTGGCCAGGACCCCCGAAATCATAGATATCCCTGAGAATGCACAGAACGCATGTCATCTTGGTGAGTTACTGGACGTGCGAGGTGTGGCCCGCTTGGACCATGTGGAGGCAGGGGTTGGACAGCACGCCTGACGGAACGGGACTCAAGCCGCGATTATGCACAGCATGGACGTTGGTCGCATACTTCCCAGTACTTACCACGCTTGGGCCATGAGGAGTCAGGGATCAGATAGCACGCCTGACCGGGCTCGTGCCATGCACATGCAACAGCGATAGCAATAGCCAAGCGGCTCGGTTAGCTGGCCCAACACGTCACAAACCAGTTAGCGGTGTGCCATGACCAAGAGGCGTCCAAGCTGTGCGGGGTCCAAAAGATCTTCAAGCTCGCTCAGGCCAGTCGTCGGGATGGCGAATTTGCCATGGGAATATACATCAAAACAAGCTCAAAAGGACACTCAGCTTAATCCTGCGCAATGGGACATATTCCTTGTAAAACCACCACCTAATTGCTCAGTTGTCGAGGGCCTAACCGCGTCAAGAGAGTCACGCGTAAGATAACGAACAAACTGCGAGAGAAGGATCCAGATTTGAAGTTCAGGGACATA